AAGTGAAAACACATAGTAACACCAAAGAAGAATGGTCCTCTGAATCTACAAAGGAAAAATTTCCAAAGATTCCACTAAAACCAAGTGTCTTCTATTCTAAACAACTGGGCAAACGAATTACTTAGAATAGCACTGTCCCAATAGCAACATAATATGGGCCATAAATGAAATATTATTTTTTCAGTAGCTACATTAAAAATAGTAATAAGGAACATGTCAAATGAATGGTGTGTGAATAAAATATTTTAATCAAAGATATCTATGTAACATGTCATTAAAATAAAATATTAATATGTTACCATTTAAAACTAAATCTTTCATACCTAATGTGTATTTTATACTTGTGGCACATCTCAATTCAGAGAAACCACACATTTCAAGTGCTCAATAGCTATATAACTATCATATGAAATAACACATTTAGGGAATGTGAAGCTTCCTCCTTGAGCAATTGTTTGTTATTTAGTGAATAGAGCAATTCTGGAGTTCTATAGAATTAGATACTCCATAAAGGAGTAAATATGCTTGCATCTTAAAAAATGCACACTGAAGAAATGCATATAGATTCTAGCACCACTAAAATCAATAATGTAACAAAGCCAAGAAAAACATACACAGGAGAAAAGAATCCCTATTTAATAAACAATATTGAAATAGCCACAAATAAAAGACGGAAAAATGACCTACACTTTCACCACTCACAAAAATTAATTCACAGACTTAAACCTAAGACATGAAATTGTAATAATTCTAAAAGATAATGTCAGAAAAACTCTTATAGACATTGGTCTAGGCAAGGAATTAAAGAAGATTCCACAAGCAAGTATAGCAACCACAAATATAAATAAACAGACATGAGCAAGTTTAAAAGTTTCAGCTAAGGACACAATCAATAAAGCAAATAGACAACCCACAGAACGGGAAAGATATTTGCATGCTACACGTCCAATAAAGGATTGATAACCAGAATCTGCAAAAAACTCAAGCAAATCAACAAGAAAAGATCAAACAACCCCATTAAAAAGTGGACAATCCCCATTAAAATATAAATGC